GCCACCATCACCTGATCCGAGGTCCCGAATGACTCTTGACGACAACGACGACGGTGGTGATGATGATGATGAGATCACTTTTGACGATTGATGTCTGATGAATGCCCGGCGTTGGTTCTCAGGGCGAGGAGGAACCGCGAGGTGGCTGGGGACGTCCTGGTGAGGCTCAGGGACAACAGGGACCTCCAGAAGTTCCTTCAGGAGTGCCGCGAGGTGAGATTTGGGCAGGAGAAGCCCCTTGTTTGGTAACTCGCTCGCTCGCTCGCTCATTTACTCATCCACTATCCCACCCAACGAACTCACTTACAAACCTACTCACTCAAGGAGTCACCCATTCACTCACATCACCCACTCTCCCTCCCACTCACCTACTCACCCACTCACTCACTCATCTACCCACGCACTCACTCACTCAATCACGCACTGACGTACTCACCCATTCACCTATTCACTCACATTGTCCACTCACCCACTCACTCACCCACTCATCCACTCACCCACTTACTCATCCACTCACCTACTCACTCACATTGTCCACTCACCCACTCACTCACCCACTCATCCACTCACCCACTTACTCACCCACTCACCTACTCACTCACCCACTCGCTCACATTGTCCACTCACCCACTCACTCATCCACTCACCCCCTTACTCACCCACTCACCTACTCACTCACCCACTCACTCACATCCCCTACTCACTCACATCGCCCACTCACTCACATCCCCTACTCACTCACTCACATCACCCACTCACCAGCTCTTCCACTCGCCTCCTCTTCCCCCCCGCCTCCGACCCGCCGCCCACTCACCCCGCTGCTCCGGTGTGCGTGTGCGTGGTCGTGGCCACAGCTGACGTGCTGGGTGAACGAGAAGATGCTGACGGCGCAGGACACGTCGTACGACGAGGCCAGGAACCTCCACTCCAAGTGGCTCAAGCACCAGGCATTCATGGCGGAGCTGGCCTCCAACAAGGAGTGGCTGGAGAAGATCAAGAAGGTTCGTGCGCCGCGTGCGCTCGTCCGTGTGTGCTCGCGAGTGCGCGTTCACCTGTGTGCGAGCGGTAGTGTTGGTGCTTGGGGGGGGGGGTGGCACGTGCCCTCCCAATGATCCCATCGAAATCCCTAAGTTCGATCGGATTATTGGGGTTTATTAGTAATAAAGCGGCATTTTGCGACCCCCACTGCCACTGTGTAGAATATTATTACGTGCCAGGGACTCTATGAGATATAGAACAATAGTCTGAGTCATAATTAGCAATAAGTAACGGCAAGCAGTTATAAGTGACTCACATAATTGTGCGCAGTTGCGTATACAGTACGCGACTTTCCCTGAAGTCATTCACCTTTAGTGAGTGCGATGCCGATCACACAATGCTGTTCGAATTCGACCCTCGATCTATGGCAGCGCCATCGCCGCACACGCGTCGAATAAAAAGCAGGGGACAGTCCTTGCTTACTAACAACTCTCTTATCATTTTCATTGCTGGAGGGATTCCCCCCCCCACCTGAAAATCCTGGCTCCGCCATTGAGTGGCGACGATATTTGAACCGGTCCGGGCCTCCCCTAGGTCGTCTCAGCCTCAAATGCATACCTGGTGCGGGTGCGTGAACATCGCTTGCTGGGGAGACAAAGATCGGCTGCGCGTCGTGGTGTTGGCTCGCTCCGTTAATCCCGGAGGATGCCTCTCTCCCTCCGTCCCTGTCTGCCCCGCGCGGCAGGACGGCGAAGCGCTGGTGACGGAGAAAGCCCGAGACGGAGCCCGTCGTGCGCCGGGAGCTCGCCGAGCTGCAGCGGCTGTGGCGTGAGCTCGAGTCTACCACGCAGGCCAAGGCGCAGCGCCTCTTCGACGCCAACAAGGCGGAGCTGTTCACGCAGAGCTGTGCCGACCTCGACAAGTGGATCGGCGAGCTCGAGTCGCACACAGCAGTCGGACGAGTACGGGAAGGACCTCACCGGCGTCAACATCCTGCTCAAGAAGCACCAAGGTGGATGCGGGCGTCGCGGTGGATGCGTGGGGGCGAGGTGGGGGCTAGGGACTCGGTAAGGCCGCCCCCCCCCCTCTCCCCACCCCCGTCGGCCGAGGTTTTGGTTCGGAATCCAGGCGGCCGATGGGATTGTGAAGCGGTTCCCAAGTACGTATGTATGTATGTTGAACTTCTCTCCGCACCGTACGTAGCCGACTCTGCTAATCGGAGCTGCTGGGGAAGGGCAACAAGTGTAGTGGGTGAGTTAATGATGGTCTCAGTCCATTCTGCAATGGATTTGCAATGTTTTTTTTCGAAGTTAGTTCCTCGGCCGATACATGTTTACGCTCGGCATCCAGTCCGTTTCACCGCAGAAATAAATTAAAGTAACTTTTTATTCCGTCGGCCTATAGACATTTCCGGGGCAACATTTGTTGCTCTTGAGAACCAGTGTCCGTTTTACCTCGGGGGGTCTCTTAATTCTTGGGTGCCGATAATGGGACCCCAAGTCGATGAAGTAAAAACGTGCTATTTTTAAACGCTTACTTCAACGTCGCTTAGCTCGGCTAACTTGGTGACCTCACGCGGCTGTAGGAGGCCGCGTCCACGCCGTCCCGCCCGGCACGCGCGGGGATAGCGGTGAAGCTTTCACTCCTCCTGCGAGTAATTCTCGCGGTGTCCGATTTCGCCACGTGACCGAACCACCGTGAAGCGGAGAGAAATCGATCGCTGTACTCAAAACGTATGGGTCCGGCTTTGTGAGGTAGCGCCTGCTAGAGGGCTTCCTCTGCAAGTGGTTTCTGCAGCCTGCGATCCTCCCCGATCAAGTTAAGTCAAGGTGCACTCTTTACTTTTTTGCTTAAGTTTACTTTATTTGTTTACACGGATTGCACGGGAGATCCGCGGTGCTGCGTGAGCGCAGCAGGAGTAGCAACAACAAAACAGAAACGTCAATATTGTCACGGAGCGACTACAGCAGGGTACTTAAGGGATATTGCACAGCCAGCAAACCAGGAGGCCAGTGCGGTAGAGACCGGCAACCCGGGGTACATTCCTGGCCACGGGCACGAACATCAGCGGCCAGTGATATTTGAACCCGACGCTAGACCACTCCGCACTTATTTTTCCTTTCTTTCTTTTCCAACCCGCACTGACCAGAATGGTGAAGTATGTCCAAACAACCGGGCACACTTATTAGACCTAGGGTGAGAACTCGAGTGACCCACCCGGACGAGTCTCATTTGCGAGCGGTGTGACCTCGGCTCGATGACGGGTGAACGGAGGAAGAAGACCCGAGCCGGGTCGGCTTTGGGGCGGGAGGGAGAATCCGCGAAGCTCGATCTGACCGCGTGCGGTGGGGTGCGCGTCGTTCCGGGCCTCCGCGGCAGATGATCGAGAACCAGATGGAGGTGCGCAAGCGCGAGGTGGAGGAGCTGCAGACGCAGGCGTCGGCGCTGCGCCAGGAGGGCCAGGGCTCCGACGAAGCGGACGGCCTGGAGCGCGTGGTGGTGGTGAGGCTCCACCAGGTCATGCAGCCCCTGCAGCAGCGGAAGGGCAAGCTGCTCGCATCCAAGGAGGTCCACCAGTTCAACCGCGACTTGGAGGACGAGATTGTGAGTGGGTTCACGGTTCGAAATGATATGCTTTCAGAACGCGAATTTGATATGTGAAGCGACGAATGTGTTAGGGGACGTATTTTTGTTATATATAACGTGGACGTGGATTGGATGTAACGCGATCGAGTGAACGGAACTGGGTCGTGCAAGTGGGATTAAGCAGTTGTACGGTTGCCTCGGCGTAGAATCACACAAAGCGGGATGCTGCTGGATGCTTCTAGACGTTACCCACACGCCCTCCGTCTTTGTTCAGCCTGCGTACCCATCTACCGCTTTATAGGAGAACAGACTGTATGTGCTTTTCGATCATCATCATCATCGTCAGCAATGATCTATCCACTGCTTGATGAAGGTCTCCCCTTAAAAATACATTGTTAGATGGCCAGGCGAGGTGGTGGACACATCTGTTCCAGCAAAACAGATGCACGGATGCTAGACTATGCAGAGGTGAAGCAACGGTGCCCAACGCTCCCGCGTCGCCAATGACGACTGTACGGCGCTGAAGAGCCGTAATCATCGCCCCCCTCTCCCCCCCGACCGTCGTCCGGCTGTCGCCGTCTCTCGCAGCCGCGCGGCGCGACGGCTCTCCTCGCCGCCGCTGCACGCGAGCCGATTTCAGTTCCCCACCCGCAAGGGTGGACATCCACTTGCGCGTGTTCCCCCCTGCGGCTCTCACCCCATCGGTGGTCTCCACTGAGAGCAGTCGTCCCTTCTAGTGACTTCCAGTCCGCGTGGCTCATGCAGAGTTGGATGTCTTGCAAAGGGTTTCTACTTGGTGTTCGGACATTTTAACAACTCCTGTTGTATTGCTAGAAAGGGTACACATCTATTATTATCTTTTATACTTTGATACTGGCAAAAAGGTTCCATGATGTAGCTGCTCACCCCGAGCTATAAATGCTCTGATAGGGTATTGTCCTTGTGCTGTTCCCCTATCGGCGTTTTCTGACCTGACACTGGTGGTGAGATTAGGCCATAAAGAAGGCTGTCTCTGGTGTAGGCCAATAATTTTCGAAGGCAACACGTATATTATCAGAGCATGTTTGTTTGCATGTTCACCACAAGTGCGTGTGGTGAATGCAGACTTTATGCCTTGGAAAGTGTATCGATTTGGTGCGTGAACATCTTAACAGCTGTTGTATTGCTAGAAAGGGTAAAACCTATTCTTATTTTTCAGACTTCTAGTCCGTTTACTTTCCTTCACAAGCAACACGATGTCTGTGATTTTAACTGTGTTCTCTGAGCCATGTCTTCCTCACTCTTCCTGTCTCTCCACTATAATTCTCTCTCTCTCTCTCCAAGCTCCTCATCTGACTAGCGAGCCCCCGGGCGCTTCGTTTTGGGCTTAGCGCGGGCGTTGTTCTGGCGAAGGTTTTTCATCGCAACGTTTCCCCCTTCGTCTTTCGCCCTCGTCCCGTCGCAGCTCTGGATAGATGATCACATGCCCCTGGCGTCGTCGACCGACCACGGGCACAACCTCCAGACCGTGCAGCTGCTCATGAAGAAAAACCAGGTAACGCGTGACATCGATAACGCACAACAAGCATCCTCCCTACACGACGGGGAGGTTTGGAATCAGGGCCTGCTTGAAGTGGCACAGGTGTGTCAGAGGATCAGAGCGCTAAGTTGGCAGTGGTGAAGTCCTGGGTTTGAATCCAGGCCCGTGATTAAACCAGGTTCTCAAGTGCAGTGAGGTGATGGTCTCAGCCTGGCCACCAATGACTCTATGACAAAAATTTTATTCTGCACTTCCATTTGGCTCAATTCCAGCTCGGGAAAAGTAAATGTTGCTTTGACATGCGACGGACGGTACTTTCATGTGCAGAGCAGGTGGGAAAGTGCTGCCCTCTATTGGCTGGATCAGAGACTCACTTGAAGGGATTTCAGAGGTAGCTCTGTGACATCCACTTCCGTGGGCCGTTCTCTGACATGAAGGGGAAGCACCGTTCGCGATGGACTCTCCGGCTCGTGAAGACGCGATGCCGATAACGCGATGGAGATAAAACTCGGTTGGGGGGGGGGGACGATGCAAAGGTGACGTATTGACTGTTCACCTAGCCCACTGGACTGTAACAGGCCAAGATGAATTGTTGAGGTCACAGTTCACGCGCGTAAATGGAATCCACGATATCCCCCCCGACTTGTGTTTTGGCGTTCACGTTCGTAGCAGCGTGGTGGCCTAGGCCTGGTTCCTGACCCTATTGTGCGCTCTCTGCGATGGCTCGCACGCTCACAATCACGTGACTCCTTCATCCCCACCCACGGAGGAGAGGAGCCGCCCCCTCTCTTGGGGAATTGCACCTCCGATTAGTGCGGTTGGCTACGTACGTTACGAAATAAATTCACTGTACATACATAAATCTGAATGTATGCTGAACCTCTTTCGCACCGTACGTAGCCAACCTCACTAATCGGAGGTGCGGGGAAGGACAACAAACTAAACTAACGCAGCTAAGTTCCGTCCAGTGCCTCCAGGACAAGGCGACGCCAGCTCGCTGCCGCGTCAGATCCTCTGACCGGTATCTCCTCGATGGGTCGGCGGGCGGGGGGGGGGGGACATCGCAGCGGCGTACCTGACCGCGCGTTTCTCCTCCCCATCGTTGCCGTCGGTACGCGCCAGACCCTGCAGAAGGAGATGCAGGGCCACGAGCCGTGGGTGCACGACGTGTGCGAGCGCGGGGAGCGGCTGGCGGCGGACGGCGGGCCCGACGCGGCCGAGGTGCGCGAGCGCATCGGCACGCTGCGCGACCTCTGGGCCAGGCTGGCGACGGAGGCCGAGCGGCGGCAGGGCCGCCTGCAGGAGGCCCTGCAGGCGCAGCAGTACTACTTCGACGCGGCCGAGGCGGAGGCGTGGATGAGCGAGCAGGAGCTGTACATGATGGGCGACGAGAAGGCCAAGGTGAGGACGGGGAGAGATTTGGCAGTTTTTTTTTTTTTTAACCCCCAAGGTCAAATGTTTCATTGAGTTGGGGCAGCTTATAGGGGCCGGATCACAATGGCCGTGTCAGTGGTGCCATCAAGAGCCTCTGTTGCAATCCTGATGTCCGCCTGCGTGGTGAGATTAAAGCAGCTGTATCGGGGTGGAGCGAGTTAATTATAATAATAGCTTCACACACACCGTAGTGATGTCACCGCAGTGTCTGTGCCGGGTTGGCTGCAAAGCGACACTTTGTGGAGTTCCAAAAGCCTAATTATAGGAGGTCACATGACATACCTAAGCATTATGGGTAGTTAAGTCTCGCCATCAAAAGGCAACAGGACAGGTCCAGTAACATGTGAGGAGTACCGAAAGCTCATTGGCTGCTATGAATTTCAACTTGATAAGCCACTTCGTTGAGCTATCATTTGTGGCCAGGTCGCTTCGGAAAAAGAGCTACAGGGTCTCCTCTATTTACGAACGAGTTAGGTTCCAGAGGTCTGTTTGTAAGTCCATTTGTTCGTAAGTACAACTTTACTCCTGTCGATTCCAAACATGTTGTATGGCATGGACACTAAGTTGTATGATTTCCTGTAGATGTAGATGCCACTAGTTCTTCATGTTCTGCAGACGTAGATGCCACCACCGCTATCTATTGTGTGGCGGTTGAACTGCTGCTCAGTTGCCCTTACCTGGTGGAATAAAAATGGTTTAGTTTTAACATCTTGCCACCATAACGTGTGGTTGAGCAATGCTGAGAGCACCTGAGGGAGGGTGTCTTCCCGATGCCTCTGGCTAGGAGATGGCTCACGTGCCGGGGCCGTCGTCCGCGCGGTGCCTCGTGTGAGAGAGCAGGACGAGCAGAGCGCCGTGGCCATGCTCAAGAAGCACCAGAACTTGGAGCAGGCCGTGGAGGACTACGCAGAGAACGTGCACCAGCTGTCGGAGATCTCGCGGAGACTCATCTCCGACGGGCACCCCGAGAGGTAGGAGTTGGGGGGTGGGGGGAGGGAGGGGGTGGGGGGGGGGGCACAAGCCTGGCACGCCACCCACCGAGACGGTGTCGACAACTCGTTTCATGATCTCACGGAGCATTGCATTGTGGGTAACGCAATCGATAAACACTTCCCGTCAAGGAGCATAAACAGTCACGCAAACTCCGGTAATCCTTGCAGCAGTAGCGGCTTTTGGCTCGCCATTGCTGCATCGCCTGCTTTCAGATGCACTTCTGCGGCCGTCTGGAACGATATTAGGAAGCCACTGGAGCAACGCAGTTTTAAATCTAGATTGATAAAACTGATTCACGTGTTTAGTTTGTTGTCCTTCTCCTGCACCTCCGATTAGCACGTGTAGCGATATAGATTTGGTGACTTAGCAGCATAGCGTTGGCTGCTGGCAGGGAAGGGGATCTGCAGCTACAGCAGCCCTGACTGACAGCAGGCCACGTGATAGACCAGAGAGGGATGTAGGGGAAGGGTCACGGAAGGGGCACGTCGAGAACCCGCTGGTAGGTTCCAGAAGGGGGCGTGGCCGGGGGCGGAGCCAGCAGGCCACGTGACAGTATAAGAGGGGCCCCGGGAGGGGACCTCAGGGCTGTCATCGTGTGGAGTGGGGTCCCCGTCGTGCTGCTGCCGGAGTATTCACCGTCTCGGCATCGTCAGTCAGGCAGTCAGGCAGCCTGCCAGCTGTCCTGACTGGGAACCGTAGTTACTAAAGTGTGAACTGTTAAGGCCGTGTTAATAAACAGAGTGCCTCCTACTCTCAGTGTCTCTACACATGGATGGCGATGTACGGTGAGAAAGAAGTTCAACATACATACCCGGCCACCTCAGCATTGCACGCAGGGGGGTGCAGTGGCGTCGCCGATCGGTGGCAATGTATATTTATGTATTCAAAGATTCCCCGTGTAGCCTTAACAGGCTGTTGAGGCAAGTGCTGTTAGCGAGTAGCACCTATGAAGGCCGGCACGGCACACGAGGGGGTGGGTGGCCAGCACCACGCCCGGCCGCCTTTGCCTCCCCCAGTGGTGATGTTTACACACAGCAGCAGGTACTCATTTGAGGCTGAGTCGACCTAGGGGAGGCCCTGGACCGGTTAAGATATTCCTCAATGGTGTTGGCCGTGAGCGGGAATCACACTCGGGGCCGGCACATCACCGCCATTTATTCACGCACACACACGCAATTGCACGCGGGATCCGGTGAGACAATTGTTTTTTTTCCGCTCGAATAATCGACGCGCCCTTTGACGACGCGATCCTCCCGTCGCCCCCCCCCCCTCCGGCGTCGGCGTGGCCAGCGAGCGAATCGGGCTGCGGCAGTCGCAAGTGGACCGGCTGTACGCGGGCCTCAAGGACCTGGCGGAAGAGCGGCGCGGCCGCCTGGAGGAGTGGCAGAAGCTGTTCGTGCTCAACCGCGAGGTGGACGACCTGGAGCAGTGGATCGCCGAGCGCGAGGTGGTGGCCGGCTCGCACGAGCTCGGCCAGGACTACGACCACGTGACGGTGAGGCTTGCCCACCGCTCCGCCATCGCGCGCGTTCACGCGAGCGCACGCACGCACGCGAAGGCAAAGATCGCCCGTATAGCTTTAACAGACTTTTGCGGCAAGTGCTGTTAGAGAGCACCCATGACGGCCGGAACGGCACACGAGGGGGTGGGCGGTCAGCACTCAAAGGCAAAGATTCCCCCCGTATAGCCTGAACAAACTGTTGGGGCAAGTGCTGTTAGCAAGCACCGATGAAGGCATGCACGGTTACACGAGGGGATGGGTGGCCAGCACCACACCCGGCTGCCTTTGTCTCTCAAGTGGCGAAGTCTACACACGGCAACTGGTACTCATTTGAAGCTGAGGCGACCTAGGGTATGCCCAGGACTAAACTCGGCTGTTAGCCGAGAACGGGAATCGAAATCGGTTCGCTGGGTTTGCGGCACAGCGCGCTTACAGCTGCGCCAACGCTCCCCGAACACACGCACACTCACCCACACATGCGCGTGAGGGGGTCAACACTTCATTCCCGTACAGATTATTCCAGTCGCTGTACCGCCTTCTCCTGCTGAGCCAGGGACACGGTGCCTCCTGGATGCCCACATGTATAGAAGGGAGTTTCACAACATTTGCACAATGATCCACCAACCTTCGCTGCCTCCGCAGTGCTGGGTTACATAACCTCCACCGTCCAGCCAACTCTTCATCTATCTTTTGATTTGGAGTTTGCATGCCCCTCTCCCTGTGGTCGCGTGGATTTTTCTCCGGGTCCTCCGGGGTGTCTCCCTCCACAATTAGAATCGACGTCACGCCTTCAGAGCATTTGGCCGCTGTAAATCTCCACGTGATAAGCCACTCCGTCGGGCTATCATTTGTGATAGTCAAGTCGCTTCTGAACAAGGGCTGTACAGCTCGGTGGGCCTTACCTGTTAAAAATAATGTTGCGTTGCGTGTGTGTGCGCGCGTGTTCCCCCCGGGGCAGATGCTGCAGGACCGCTTCCGCGTGTTCGCACGCGACACGGTACTCATCGGCCAGGAGCGCGTGCAGGCCGCCAACGAGATGGTGGACGAGATGATCGACGGCGGCCACCCCGACGCCGCCTCCATCGCCGATTGGAAGGACGGCCTCAACGAGGCGTGGGCCGACCTCCTGGAGCTCATCGACACTCGCACGCAGGTACGATGCGCTGTGGTAGGGCAGTGAGGACGATTGAGCCGTGATGGATTAATTCACCCATTGTCGGTGGTCAGTCGCCTCCCAATCACTCTTGTATTGCCACCTACCATGGCTGCTAATCCTTTGAAGTTCGCTCGTTGATTCCCTCCAAACATGTTGAGTACTCGGGCTACGAGACACTGACGGTTTCGTCCCATCTATCACACTGTGTTCAACCACTGCAGGTCACAACAACACGCCCCCTAACTCACTCACACACTGAACAATTTACTCATTTCCTCACCCACTCGCTCAGGCACTCACTCACCCAACTACTCACCCTCTCACCCACTCACCCATCCGCTCACTCACTCACTCACTCACCCAACTACTCACCCTCTCACCCACTCACCCATCTACTCACTCACTCACCCACTCATCACTCTGCAAGTCACGACCCTTCTCTGTCTGCTTCCTTCTTGTCACTGCTCCACTTTGGAATTCGCTCCCATCTCCTCTTTTCCCAAGTGCTTATGTAACCTCGCTCAGTTGAATACACCTACAAACCTTTGGCTGTCGTGCCTTACGTAGTACCGTTTGTTACTGGGCGCTTGGTAATCTGGGCTGTTGGTGCCTGTCCTAAGCAACGGTATAACAACAAATGCCCACACACATCCTTGCTCCCTCCCTCCACTCCCCGTGATACCGTGCGCTTACATTTGCACCGCGGTGGCGAGACGTCGACTACCTCGCCTGGTATACAGGAGGTCGTGGGTTCGATTCAGACCCTGACGCCTGTTGTATATATGAAGTTTGCGTGTCTCTCTCTCCCCCTGGTTGCGTGGAATTTATTCCGTGTCCTCCGGTTTTTCCCTCCACATTTAGAAACATGCGCTTAGAGTATTTAGCTGCTATAAATTCCCACGTGACAAGCCACTTCGTTGGGTTATCACTTGTGGCCAAGTCGCTTTTGAGAAAGAGCTACATAGCTCAGTGGGCCTTAGCTGGTAAAATAAAAATAGTTTCAGGAGTTATGAACGGTGGGTGTTTATATTTCTGCAAATAGATTGCTAAAGGACTGAGATGAACTGAGACGATCATCGTTTAACGCCTTTTGCAGCAGTATAAATGGGCCGGTACATGGTGGTTTTCCCTCCACATTTAAAAATACGAGTATTTTGCTGATATAAATTTCCACACGATGATAGCGCCATTTTGTTGCGCAATCATTTGTGGCCAGGGCGCTGCTGAACGAGGGCTATGCAGCTCAGTGGGCCTTACCTGGTAAAATAAAAAAAAATGTAAAAAATAAAAAAATTGTAAAAAATATATATATTTTTAAATATGATAAATTGTACTGGCAGACGTGAAAAGCAGTGGCACCAACTTTGAGTTACTGGCCCAAGCCGTGAATAACTCAACAAGGACATGAATAATCAGACGCGACACGTCAACTATACAACCGCCGTCCTCCGCCGCAGGTGCTGGCGGCGTCGTTCGAGCTGCACCGCTTCCTGCAGCAGGCGCGCGAGGTGCTCGGCCGCGTCACCGAGAAGCACCAGCAGCTGTCGGACGACCTGGGCCGCGACCAGCACTCGGTGGAGAGCCTCCAGCGCGTGCACACCGCCTTCGAGCACGACATCCAGACGCTCGGCTCGCAGGTGCGTGCGTGCGCGTGTGTGTGCGTGCGCGTGTGTGTATGTGTGTGTGAGGGGAGCGGTGGTGTAGCAGTTAGCGCGCTGCACTACGAACCCGGCAGCCCGAGTTCGATTCTCGCTCACGGCCAACCTCAGTGACGATTATCTGAACCGGTCCTGGGCCTCCCTGAGGTCGACTCAGCCTCAAATGAGTACCTGGTGCGGTGTGTTTACATCGCCACTGGTGCGGGTGTGGTGCTGGCCACCCCCCACCCCCGTCGTGTTCCGAGGGGTTTGGTAGTGAGCTCTCATAGGTGCTGCTCGCTAACAGCCGCGACAATCCGTTAAGACTATACGGGAGGATCTTCGTCTTTGTGCCTGTGTGTGTGTGTGATGCCGTGGGCTGGACTATATGGGTCTAGCAGGCCGACTTCAGCTTGAGACCATCCACTCGTTACGTTTGAGACCCAGATTTAATCGCGGGTGGCTGAAAGCCGGTTTCCAACGCAGGAGAGCAGTGCTGCCGGCTCCGCGTCTCTGACATTGTACGAGTGAACTTTGAACTTTTTTCTCGCCGTACACAGCCACCCGTGCTAAGCGTAGACATTCTTCCATCTTCACGCCTGTGGCCCTCCACGGCCCGTCCGTCTGCCAACCCCGCTTACGACCTCCATCCTCCTAACCCCCCCACCCACCACCCTCCTCTCCATTCCCCCTCGGCCCCCCCCCCCCGTCGCTCGCTTGCCGGGCTCGGCGCTCGAGCAGGTGAAGCAGATCGAGGAGGACGCGGCGCGGCTGCAGACGGCGTACGCGGGCGAGAAGGCGGAGGACATCGCGCGGCGCGAGCGCGAGGTGGCGGAGGCGTGGCGGGCGCTGCTGGACGCGTGCGGCGAGCGGCGCGTGCGCCTCGTGGACACGGCGGACAAGCTGCGCTTCTTCCGCATGGTGCGCGACCTCCTGCTCTGGATGGAGGGCGTGCGGCGACAGATCGACGCGCAGGAGAGCCCCCGGTCAGTGCGGCAGGCGGGCACGTGCGCGTGTGTGCGCGTGTGTGTGTGCGTGCGCGCGTGTGCAGGTGTGTGAGCGAGTGAGCGTTTGTGTGTACGTGTGTGGTGGTGCTGGCCACCCACCCCCTTTCGTGTCCCATGACGGCCGCCTTTATCAGTGCTCGCTAACAGCACTTGCCCTAAAAGTCTGTTAAGGCTATACGGGGGGGGATCTTTGTCTTTGTTGTACGTGTGTGAGGGCACATAGCCTGGCACAAGCGCCATAGTGACTTCACCACCACTTAGTGGTGAATGGCAGTGGTTGTTGTGTGTGCGTGCGTACGCGTGTGTGTCTGTGCGTGCGTGTGTACGCGTGTGTGTGAGCATGTGTGTCTGTGCGTGCGTGCGTACGCGCGTGTGTGAGCGTGCGGAACTTTGTTGTGGAGAGTGTCAGTCGCGTTTGCGTGTTTGCTATTGTTCCATCGTGAGTCGTGGGTTTTCACGGTTGTGCGCAATAGCTTAGGTCCAATTCAATTTGAGTCACGCCAATTTGAGTCGCATCAAGGTGCCACTCTTACCCAGAATTAAGTGGTGTCCCTTCACGGTCTGTAAATCTGCCATGTGAAATTAATATTGTTAATAGTTTACATTCCAACTTTTTTTTACTTTGCTGGAGGCTCGCAATTGAACAGGCCTGTATCGCAAGTCTTACGTTTTGTGCAATATTTTATTGTCCCTTTCCTCAATTGTATCCTGCTTTTTTATCCTTATCCTGATTGTGGAATTGCGATAAAGAATCCACTTGGAACCTTTAAAGAGGAGGCGCATCACCCCGCATTAGAGAATGGTCTGTGGAAGCAGATGATACAAAACTACTCGTGCAATCTCTAGAAGTGGCCTTTTATCAATGCTTGGGGGGCAGCACTTTCTTACCAGAGATAAACATTCCATCTGACGACGATGACGCCGATGGCGACAATGAAAATTACGACGCTGATTTACGGAGACGGCGATGGGTGACCGGTGGCGTTGGTGGCCGTGCCCATCTTCCTTCCCAGGGATGTGTCGTCCGTGGAGCTGCTCATGAACAGCCACCAGGGCATCAAGGCCGAGATCGACACCCGCAACGACAGCTTCGCCGCCTGCGTCGAGTTGGGCCAGGCGCTGCTGCAGCGCCAGCACTTCGCTTCCGCAGAGGTGAGCCCCCCACCCCCCACCTCCCATCCTCCGCCACCCCCCTGTGAGCCAGCGCCCCCCCCCCCCCCCCCCCCGTCCCATCGCTACTAGAGGCGTCTGTTCCGGCGCTAGATGCTTCGTCCGCACCCAGGGCCGGTGCTCGTTAAGCCAGCGATGATGAGTGTCTGTGTGCTTATGTGTTTTTTTTATCTCTGTAGCTGTTAGTGGGCTGCTCTATGGACCCAGCGACCGCAGTTCGATTCTCACTCACAGCCAACACCAGTGTCAAATGAGTACCTCGTGCGATGCGAAGACAACGGTGGCCGGGCGTGGCTGTCTCTTAATTAACTTTCTACATGAATGCGTGCCACCCCCGACCCCTCCTTGGGTGACTCCAGATCAGTGAGAAACTGATGGAGCTGACGGAGAAGAGGAAGGAGATGATTGACAAGTGGGAGGAGCGATGGGAGTGGCTCAAGCTCAGTAAGTGCTCGCCGCGTTGGTCGCGATGTCACCTCGGCGCTCCGGTTACGATCCTCACCTGACATTTCTTACATGACCCATCAGCCGCACGGCCTTCCGGGAGTGCATTAACTCAACGGCATCGACTCAAGACGAGCCGACTCTGGACCGGTTTCGAGTCCGGCTTGCTTGGCTCCATGCTCGTAAACTGCCGATCTAACAGGCTAAAACAGGGGTCCCCAACCCCAGGACCGCGGACCGGTACCGGTCCGCGGTCTGTTAGGAACCGGGCCGCACAGCAGCAGGAGGTGAGAGCGGTGAGTCCGTGCGTGGCCCGCCCCCATTGTTTTATTATTGACCACTTCCGTCCGCGCCTCTTTCCCTCGTCTCAGTCACAGTGTTGGTAAGCCCACAAGCTGCTAACCCCTAGTAGCCACAATGAGTAAAAAACAAAACGTCGCTGGAGAGCTTCTTTGAAAAGGGGGAAAGACCCAATGATGACCCCCCCCCCCAGTCCGTGAAAAAATCGTCTTCCACGAAACCCGTCCCTGGTGCCAAAAAGGTTGGGGACCGCTGGGCTAAAGGGCCCCCTCTCTCTATGATGTGGCCGTGCGGCTGATGGATCATGTAAGAAATGGTTGTATATTTGACGTGGAGATGTGTGAAGGAGACGTGTCACGTATGATTATTTTTGTCCTTGTTGAGTTATTCGTGGCTTGTCTCAGTGACCCAAAGTTGGTGCCACTGCTCTTCACGTCTGCCAGTACAATTTTTTTATGTTTTACTATTTTTCTTTTTAGCAGGTAAGGCCCATTCAGCTATGTAGTTCTTTTTTAGAAAGGACCTGGCCACAAATGAAAGCTCAACGAAGTGGCTTATCGTCTTGTGGAAATTTATAGCAGCCAAATACTCTGAACGCACGTTGATTCTAAATGTGTAGGGAAAAAAACTGAGGGACCCTGAGAAAATTCCACGTGACCCCCACGGGGAGAGAGAACATACTAACTCCAAATATCCAGGCGCCGGGGTCGAGATCCAACCCACGGTCTCCTGCATACCAGGCGAGGTAGTGAACATCTCGCCACCTTGGCGCTAAGAACTCTTGGATATACAGTGAGAGGCGTGAAGGGGAACACAGGGCTGAACGTGACGTGACCAATAGCATGAGGGAAAGGGAGTTGGCTTCGTTACTGGGCACGATGCGAGTCACAATCGACACCGGTGGTCAAAACCAACGAGGAAGTGGCAGCTTGCAGGAAGTCCCCGCCGCGGAGATGGATTCAGGTCACGTGCGTGCGGAAGCCAAATGGAACGTTTGTATTGCCCTCCCGTGAGAGATGGCAACGGCTTGGGGCGGAGGGTCTCCACCCAGCAGTGGGTAGATCACAGCTGCTGATGGTGAGTGTGAAGGATTTGTCTTGACCTTATGAAGCGACTTCACGATAATACAAACAAATGCATACTCTTTGGTTTTTTCGGTAAAGTCACGTAGGTAAAAAATGTATATGAATGAAAACAACTAAATTAAATCACGACGTTCGAGCGCAACACAAACGTCTTGATTTAATTTAGTTGTCTTCATTTATTTTAATTTTTTACCTACGTGACTTTACCGAAAAAACCAAAGAGTATGAATCCTTGCAGTCACGAAAACTTCAAATCTAGAACAAACAAATGCAGTGATGCCCCGATTCACGTCTCCCCCTTTGACATCGTTTCGCAAGTACCTCGTCACTTGATCATTAGCCCCGCTACTCGACCTGCGTTGCCTCGACCCCACGTTCACGTCGCTGACGGCAACCTCGTCCGTCCTTTCCCGTTATCCGTCGCCTCTCAGCCTTTGCCTCCACCACCTGACTACCCCGTGAATCGCTTCGAATTGACGTCGTTTCGATATATTCGTCCTCGCACCTTTTCGGGAACACATTCCTGATGTAAACCGGGTTTTGTATTCCAGCATTTATATTTTTTGTTCGTAAAAGCCGCTCGTTTTTAAACATGCCTTCGTGCCTCTGGCTCACGTTGGCGACTCGCCGCATGCATTCTGCGCGTGCTGCAAATCGGCCTTGTCGTTCTGATTTCTTTATTAATGTCACGTTATTCCCGTTGTTGCCGTCGCTGTCGTTGTTGAACGCGTGTCCCGTCGTGGGCCACGCCAGTCCTGGAGGTGCACCAGTTTGCCCGCGACGCGTCTGTGGCCGAGACGTGGCTGCTGAGCCAGGAGCCGTACCTGTCGAGCCGCGAGCTTGGCCTCAGCGTGGACGACGTGGAGAAGCTCATCAAGCGGCACGAGGCCTTCGACAAGTCGGCGCTCACTTGGGACGAGCGCTTCGGGGCGCTGCAGAAACTCACGACGGTGGGTGCGCGACCGCGCGCTCAAGCTCGCGCAAACGCTCACGATCTCGTGCGCAATCCCACGCAATCCTGCGCAATCCCGTGCAATCTCGTGCAATCCTGAGCAATCCCGTGCAATCCCGAGCAATCCTGAGCAATCCCGCACAATCTCGTGCAATCCTGTGCAATCCCGTGCAATCCCGAGCAATCCTGAGCAATCCCGTGCAATCTCGTGCAATCCTGTGCAATCCCGTGCAATCCCGCGCAATCCTGTGCAATCCCGTGCAATCCCGCGCAATCCCGCGCAATCCCGTGCAATCCTGAGCAATCCTGTGCAATCCCGAGCAATCCTGAGCAATCCTGTGCAATCCCGAACAATCCTGTGCAATCTCGCAAAATCCTGCGCAATCCCGTGCAATCCCATGCTAATCCTATTAAGTCTCGTGCAAATCTCACAATTGCGCGCAATCCCACACAATTAAGTGGAATAGCGTACAATTGCGCGTGCTAGTTGCTCACACGCAACACAAATATACTCTCACGGTTCGATGCGTCTGGTGTAAGCATGAGAATCAACTTTAATGGAAAAATCGATGCACGTCATTTTTTTTTCCGATTGATGCCGAAGGCTTGCAATCTGGAAACATGCCGGCGGGGTTCGTGGATCACGTAGAAACGGAGGATGCCATCCACAGTGATTACATTCCTGCAGAGTTCTGACTCGGGGACCCTGTCTCTCTGCTGTCCCCTCTTCAGCTGGAGCTGCTGGAGTTGCGTCGTCGGCAGGAGGAGGAGGATGACCTGGAGAGGAAGAGACTCTCACCTCCTCAACCCAGCGAGGAATTCCAGACCAGGTAAGCAGAAAGAAAAACATCATATTGTGCGCGTTTACAAGCTTAAATTATGAATATTACATCATTATTAATCTACTGCTGGATGAAGGCCTCCCCCACTCTGTATCGGCCATGGGGTCATGTTTGGCCATGCGTCACGCTGGTCAGCCTCTACCGGTGATGGGCGTAGCCCAGACCCTATTCAGATATCACTCGGAACGAATTTGTCCAACCATGGGAATCCAACTCGGGTGGCCCTGTTCATAGCGCAGTGCGCGAACCAATGCACCATCCCACCACCCTCCCCCCCCCACCGCCGCTGCGATATTTGACCCATTTATTATTGGGTTCTTTTGAATTATGGTAGGGAGTTGATGTGGCGGAAAAAAACACACACACACGCACATGAGGGTAAAACGCCCAAAAATCTGCATATGTTGGCAAAGAACCTACTTCCTGTACCGCCACATACAGGCCATCTCGTAGGTGGGTGATGACCTCTGCACGAACCATGAACCCCACCCTCCAGAGCGCCAAATTACAGATGTACGCTGTACGCACGACACAGGGACAACCACGAACACAACACAACCACAACACACGCACAACCACAACACACGCACAACCACAACACACGCACAACCACAACACACCACAACACACACACGACCACAATAAAACCACAACACACGCCCAACCACAACACACACACAACCACAACACACCAAAGGTCCTCCGTATCGTCATTAGCTCATCGCGGTTATTCCAGCTTAGACCGAATGCCTGTGACTGTCTTGCCTGTGACTGTCTTGCCTGTGGCTGTCTTGCCTGTGACTGTCTTGCCTGTGACTGTCTTGCCTGTGGCTGTCTTGCCTGTGACTGTCTTGCCTGTGACTCTCTTGCCTGTGACTGTCTTGCCTGTGACTGTCTTGCCTGTGGCTGTCTTGCCTGTGACTCTCTTGCCTGTGGCTGTCTTGCCTGTGACTCTCTTGCCTGTGACTGTCTTGCCTGTGACTGTCTTGCCTGTGGCTGTCTTGCCTGTGACTCTCTTGCCTGTGGCTGTCTTGCCTGTGACTCTCTTGCCTGTGACTGTCTTGCCTGTGACTGTCCGTCTGTGTCTGCGGGTAACGCGGTTGGCTCGCCCATTCATCGGCGGACCAGAAGAGCCGGACACCCTGCGTCAGTCGCCAAAATCGGCGCGGTTGAAGGCTGGCCCGCCGGGCAGCCATGCCCACCGCGCGCTGCTTTATCGACGGAAAGCGCTCGCGCGTAACACATCGTGTCGTATTGACAGCAGTTGATTAATCAATGCACGGAAAAACACGAGGGCACAACATGGACGTAACGCGCGTCGAAGCGACATCGTCGCGTGCGGTACCACGGTGTCCGTTCTTTGGCCGTGGATTGGATATCTCTGAAAGACTGGGCAACTGTGAATGAGAGCTTTAAAGTTAATCGGTTTCCTCCGGTATAAATACAAGTAAATATTCTGAATGTCCTAAATCTGGATTTTGATTAATTACATTTTTCATTCGTTTTTTTCCATCAAACAACAGAGAAGCTGGAGATGCGCATGCCGTGCAAAACGGAGTCGCGGCGGTCGAAGTCGAGTCGGCAAAGGTGAGAGCTTCGTGGCCGTTGGTCATTGCCCCAAAAAACACTAACCCTGCCATGCGCGTCGAACACCCTTACGGACATTTCGTGTGATCATATCGTTTTCTTGTTCAAGAGGCGGCGCTGATCGTAAACGCAGCGAGCGGTTAGATTCGTGCTTGCGCGTCAGCGTCACCACAGTCTTTTAATATTGCTTAACAGATTAATTACTTATTTCACGAACACATAAACAACGCTTCCCAACGAAGTCTGACAGCGTTCTTGCAATAGCTGTCCATCTGTCCGTCTTTCATGGGGACATCCGAACTAAGCTAAACAATGTTTTTTTGATCTTACCAGCTAAGGCCCACTGAGCTATATAAATATTTTTCAGACGTGGGATGGCCACGATCGATAGCTCAACAAAGTGGCTTATCACGCAGAAATTTATAGCAGCCAAATACTCCAAACGAATGTTTCTAAATGTGGTGGAGGAAAAAAAATCGGAGGACCCGGAGAAAAACCCACGCGACCACGGGGAGAGAGACACACGAATTTCAAATATACAACAGGCGTTAGGGTCTGCATGGAACCCAGGACCGTCTGCATACCAGGCGTTGGAGTTAACATCTCGCCTTCGCGAGCCTATGATGAGAGTTTGCCTGAAACTCTGTAGCAAACACCGGCGGTGCTAAATGCCGATTGCCACGCGTGGCCACGTACGGCACGGCACGAGTTCAACGTACACGCATGCACACGTGCGTTCAGTGGAAAATCCTTTCCGGCCGCGAGAATGACGTCGCAAGCCACGCCGCCTCAGTAACACCCCTCCCTGCCACCCGCGCTTCCCCGTGTCGGGCCCAGGCGGCCGCGGAAGGTGCGGACGGTCTGGCGAACGGCTCCGAAGGCCGGGCGCGGAGGGCGAGGGAGAGCCCCCCGCCGCCATCGCCCGAGGGGGAGAGGAGGGGCCTCGCGTCGCCGCCGCTGGCGCCGCACACCTCGGCGAGCCTCCCGGCCAAGCCCAGCGAGGTGCTCATGCTGCCCACGGAGGGCTTCCTGCACCGCAAGCACGAGTGGGAGGCGAGCAACAAGAAGGCCAACAGCAGGTGCGGGCGTTGCGAGCGTGTGTGTGTGAATGTGTGTGTCTGTGTGTGAATGTGTGTGGGGAGCGGTAGTTGTAGCGGTTCGCGCGCTGTGCTACGAACCTGGCGACCCGAGTTCGATTCCCGCTCACGGCCAAAATGAGCGACGATTATCTCAACCGGTCCTGGGCTTCCCCTATGTCGACTCAAATGAGTACCTGGTGCGGTGTGTAAACATCGCCACTGGGGAGACAAAGGCGGCCGGGCATGGTGCTGGCCACCCACCCCCTCGTGTGCCGTTCTGGCCTTCATAGGTGCTCGCTAACAGCGTTTGCCTTAACAGTCTGTTACAGGCTATACGGGGGATCTTTGTCTTTGTTATGGGAAGTGGTGGTGTAGCGGTTAGCGCCTTGTGCTGCAATTACGGCGGCCTGGGTTATCTAAACCGGTGCTGGGCCTTCCTGATGTCGACTCAGCCTCAAATGAGTACCTGCTACTCTGTGTAAAAACTTACACAAAGGCGGCCGGGTGTGGTGCTGGCCACGAACCCCGTCATGTGCCATGATAGCCTTCTTAGGCGCTTGCTAACAGCACTCTTGAGGCTATACGGGGCTTTTTGTCTTGTGTGTGTGCGTGTGCTTGTTGGCGTGCTTGCATGCTCATGCTTTTGGGGAGTGGCGGCGTAGTGGTTAGCGCCAGAGGTGTGGACTCGAGTCATGTGACTTGGACTCGAGTCAGACTCGAGTCATGAATTTGATGACTTCAGACTCGACTTGGACTTGCATAACAATGACTTTGTCCCACCTCTGAGGTGTGGACTCGAGTCATGTGACTTGGACTCGAGTCAGACTCGAGTCATGAATTTGATGACTTCAGACTCGACTTGGACTTGCATAACAATGACTTTGTCCCACCTCTGGTTAGCGCACTGCGCTACAAACCCAGCGACCAGAGTGTTGATTCCCAGATATGGCTGACATCAGTGACAAATATCTGAACTGGTCCTGGGCCTCCGCTAGGTTGATTCAGCCTTAAAGCAGTACCTTCTGTGGTGTGTAGACCAAAGGTGGCCAGGCGTGGTGCTGGCCACATCACCCTCTCATGTGCCATGCTCGCCTTAAAACTAAACTACACTATTTTTTATATTGTACCATCTAAGTTCCACTTGAGCTATATAGATCTTTTTCACAAATTATATCTCAACGAAGTGGCTTACCATGTGGCATTTTACAGCAGCCAACTTCTCTAATTGCATGTTTCTAAATGTGGAGGGAAAAATTGGAGGACCCGGAGAAAAATCCACGCGACCACAGAGAGAGAGAGAGACACCCAAACTACAAATATACAGGTGTCAGGGTCGGAATCGAAACCACGACCTCCTGCATACCAGTCGAGGAAGTTAACATCCCGCCACCCACCATGACGCCCCTTAAAAGCACTGGCCCCAACAGTCTATGTAGACAAAACAAGGGACCTTTTTATTTTCAACGTTTATAGGAACTATCCTTGGGCAGGCGATGCGTAAAGTGAAATAAATTCCACTGCTGCTATTATTATTATAAAGGGGATGTTGCCATAATAATATATGTTGAGCCCACTGGACTCACAATCCTCGGGGTCGACGGTTCTATCTCCCAGCGTGGAAGTTGAAACGACGGTGACAGTTTTTTAAATCCCCCTCCGCCTCTGGTCACGCAGAGTATGAACGGTTACACCACGGTTTGTGGAAAGCCAGTTCACCTGCGGCGGATGCTCCCACCTCTTCAAAGTCCAAAAATATCCCGAGAGCTTCCTCCAGTTAAAGTCCTTCCACCAGTCAGTGGCATGAGTGAGACGCTTCAAGGCAGCTAATAATTATAATTTTTCCACTTCTGCATGATTCACCAACTCCCATCTCCGCGTCTCTGGCTTCTGTTCTATCCTTGCGCATGATGGTCATGGATTTTTACAGGGAGGAACAATGTTCCACACTGCCCACCAGGGATTATTTAGCTGTCTGTCTGTCTGACTGTCTGTTTGTCTGTCGTACATAATATATAATACACACAGCTCTTTGATTGGTGGAGACCTTACAAACAGCTCTTTGATTGGTGGAGACCTACTGCCGGGTATGGAGAGGGGAGGTGCCTAAGGGAGGAGGGTCAGGGGAGGGGCCTAAGGAAGGGGGGAGTCAGGTAAACAGCTCTTTGATTGGTGGAGACCTACTGCCGGGTACGGAGAGGGGAGGTGCCTAAGGGAGGAGGGTCAGGGGAGGGGCCTAAAGAAGGGGGGAGTCAGGAGAGGGGCCTGAGGGGGGGGGGTCAGGGGAGGGGCCTGAGGGGGGGTCAGCGGAGGGGCCTGAGGGAGGGGGGGTCAGGGGAGGGGCTTAAGGATCGGGGGGGGGGGTGCTCAGGGGAGGGGCCTAACAGAAGGGGGGTTAGGGGAGGGGCCTAAGGGAAGGGGGGTCAGGGGAGGGGCCTGAGGATATGGGGGGGGGGGGGGGGGTCAGGGGAGGGGCCTAAGGGAAAGGGGGTCAGGGGAGGGGCCTAAGGGGGGAGGGACCTAAGGGAGGGGGGGGGCGATAGTTCAGGGGGCTGTCTGCCTGGCTACCTAAAGTCAAGTTATCTTGTATACATACAGGTAGGAACAACAGGTTCCACACTGCCCACCAGGGATTATTTGTCTCTCTGTCGTGCACGAATGCGCTGTCCAACCAAGTTCCTACCTGCCCACTCCGAAGGAACGTGTTCTCCGCGTCCTCCACATTTAGAAGCATGCGTTTAGAGTATTTGGCGGCTAAACATTTTCACATGATAAGCGTTGAGCTATCATTTGTGGCCAGGTTGCTTATGAAAAAGAGCTATATAGCTCAGTGGGCCTTACCTGGTAAAATTAAAATAGTTTAGCTTTGTTTAAATGTCAATGTCGAGGTCTGCTAGCCACGAAAGGGCTTTGTGGCTAGTCACGATGCCTGCACACGCTTTGATTTCTCTACTCGAATGACGCGTGGCGAGAGAGTTCATGGATTGTGTTCCTCCATTGGATGAGCGCAGACTACAGTGGTTTACTACAGTGGCCCATAGTTTTGGTTGCATGGCCACAATCACACTCCTGTGGCCTGTGTCTTTAATCTTCTGTTCATGATGGCGATGTGCATATCGGTCTGCTGACGTTTCTGATGCGAGAGAGGGTAGCCTTCCAGTGGTGGCCCGTCTCTCACGGGTTTTCATGTTGCCTTACAGACAACTAATACCGGCATCGAGTTGAAACGGACTTAATTAATTTGAATCCAGTCTCTGGATGAGACACGAAGGTCATCCTAACCCTCACTTTCGATTTTTACTATTTTATTTACCAGGTAAAGCTCACTGAGCTATTAGCTCTTTTTCAGAGGCTACCTGGCCACACTTGATAGCTCATCATCGAAGTGGCTTATATCATCATCATCATCATCACTGCACGTGGGAATTCATAGTGGCAGCCCAATAATCTCAGCGGATGTTTTATAAACGCGGAGGGCAAACTCCAAATAATCCACGCGATCACCACGGGTCGAGTGTGCAAACTCCAAATACACAACAGGCATAGTCAGGGTCGGGATCGAACCCACGACCTCCTGCATAGCAGGCGAGGGAGATAACATCTCATAGCCACCGCTGCCCCTGTCCCGCAGGTCATGGAACAACGTGTACTGCGTGCTGAGCACCGGTCAGATCGCTTTCTACAAGGACCCCAAGAGCGCCGGCACGGGGGTCACGTTTCACAGCGAGATCCCCCTACCTCTGTCGGGCTCCTCGTGCGAGGTGGCATCCGACTACAAGAAGCGCAAGCATGTCTTCAAGCTGCGGTGAGTGCCGCCCGGGGCCTCGGGCCCACGGGCTGGGTAACCTGGACACACGCACGACGATCGAGCGCGCTTGGGCTACCACCGTCACGTAGGATGGCGCTGCCGTGTCTCGCAGGCACGGTCTGCGGCAGTTTCACTGTCGGGGGCACTGCTGCCGCTGCTGCTGCCGCTGCTGCCGCCACTGCCGTGTGTAATCCCAATTTGGGTTTAATTCTTTCAAATTTGAAAAACTTTCAGAATGAGAATGTTTTAAAATGTAGACAGGGGGAATCCGATGAGCTACTAAGTTATTTTTCCCAGGTGTCCGGTAAGGGGTGGGTCAGCAAGTTACAACTTCTGCCATTCTGTTCTTGCGCATGATTGCAGCAATAAGCTCAGGAGCTAAATGCCAATGTCTGCTGGCCACGAGACGGCTTCCTGGCTAGCCACGACGCCGGCACGCACTTGGCTTACTCTGTTCGAATGACGTCTGGCGATCTTGAACGTCTGCTATCGTCCACCGTCAAGCGGCAGCGACGTATTTTTTCGGCGAATACACCCGCAGGAATAATAACCAGGGCAGCTCGCCGGATTTGATATTGAAAACCCTCCGCAAAACAAAAGCGGCGAACGCGTTACTGCCGGGCCACAACGACAACAACGACAACAACGACAACAACGATCGCCGTTCACCACTGAGTGGCGGTAACGACGTCACCTGCCCACAGCCCTGTTGTCAGTCTCACGGTTGGATCAAGCGAACGTTGTCTGCGACGCTGCATTGGCTGTGCGTTCCATAACGCTGCCGCAAAGAGGATTGAATGTTATTATTTTTTGTTTTGCGCGTGCAAATTGTTGGAGACCGGGCTGAAGCCATCGACTCGGTTTACAACTCGGTTTAATCACGGGCGGCTACACAAACCTGCCTTCGAACCCAGGATCTCGGCAGTGCTGGCTCCGAGCTCCTTCGAGCTACCTGGCCACCTCAAGCGTTGATAACACTGGTCAACACACTTTTTCTGGCATAAGGTATTCCAACGGTTTTAAGGTAATTTTGGGGTGCATTTTCAATAAAAACTGCAGAAGAAAAATATTAAATAAATGTAGATATCTAAATAAAATTATATTATAAACACACTATCCTAAAAATACAGCACCATATTATAACACTAAAGCAGTCACTGTCTCGCAACAACTTGCAATCATAAGTGACAGAGTTAATTTTTGGTAAAATCAATGAAAATGGGGTATGCCGATAGCATAAAAATGATGTGATAGAGCAAATCTGAGATCAGATTTGGAATCAGCACCCTGAAATTAGTCTAAAACAGCTGCAAAAGTCCAGGCCAGAAAAAAAATGTTTTTTTTGTTGACCAGTGTTATTTAGGGTTTAGTTATATGTATGGATAACATTACCTGTAAGGTGCTATATAAGATAAGATGTTGAACTTATTTTACACTGTACGTAGCTAACCGTGCTAATTGGAGGTGCGGGGGAAGGACAACAAACTAAACACAAAAAGCAGTTATATAAAAAATAGTTTTCAATATATTTTTTAAAGTGCATAGCTCCAGTGGCTTCTTAATATGCCGCAGAAGCGCATCTGAAAGCCGCGATGCAGTGACGTTTTTGTTTGATGGCTAGCCAAAAGCTGCTTTAGTTGCATGCTAATGTTACACTTTGGCTAACAGCGTGAACCAGTCTGCGCAAATGCTACTGGACAGTGGTACACGAGAACCTTTTTGTAAAGCAATTATGGAATTAAATTTCAATTCATATTCCTCCTTGCCACCTACCGTCCACAACGTGTTCAAGACTTAACTGAGTGGCCTGCCATAGAAACGTGGAATTTCCTGACAATGTCCAGGGCTCGCATTGTGCACACGAGCACCACACGAGTATCTCTAATCACGTGGTTCAATGGGCGACGAGAGAGGCCGAGGAAGGAAGGATGGTGAAACACGCACACGGCTGGCGAAGTAACGAATGCACGTGTGATTGTCACTCGCAGGCTCGAGGATGGAAATGAATTCCTGTTCCAAGCCAAGGATGATGTAAGTTCATATTGCTTACATGTTGTTGATGTGAGCTTTACATTTTTTTTGTACATGTCCATATTCTAGTTTTCACTGGTTGGCCTTTCGAGTCATATTTAAACAAATTTTACTGGTCCCAAGATTTTGCACACTCGTTGTTGACCTTACAGGTAAAGTGTGGATCATACCGATGGTTGGGTTCAAACTTACAAATGGCACGATGCCCCCTCCATGCAATAGTTTTTTTCCCGGGCACTCCGGTTTCCTTCCACATGCATACACGCCCGTTGAATTGCTGACAAATGTCCCCATATATAGAGGACTGCAGAGCATAGGGAATAGTTGGTGGCGCCGGCTCCTCGCGTGGCTGCTGCTGCTGCCCCTTCCCGCTCGTCTGTGGTTCCCCGCGCCTCGGGGTCGTTCTCCCGCTTAGAGGGCGGGCGTAGACTGTGCCGCTGTGGCGGTGCATTGCAAGTTTAGATTATCGCGATTATAATTGTTATGGCGGAGAGTAAGAGCTGCAGATATGACTACCGGGGTGTATCTATGCAGCAGCTTCTCACCACTTAACCCAGGGGTGCGGTAATCTGCGGCTTCGGAGCCTCGTACGCCTCTTTAAGGACCGCTTCCTGAGGTTATTTATTCAGGACCACCATCTTCTTATTCACCACGTGCATCGCGGCTCTTGAAATATTGATTTTATTTGACCGAATTCGAAAAAAAAATGGCTCTTGTTATTTTGGTTGCCGAGCCCCGACTTAACCCATAGCACCTGGGTCTCTCCTGTGATGTGCAGTCAATGAGCCTTCGGCACTCCACACATGTGTAGTGTGATAATTCATGGACACTAGTAGGAGGCACTCACAGACTTGGGGGATAACTAAATACCGAGTCGGGACAGCCAACACGCTGCCAGATCCACAGCTTGAAGAGGGCGAAAATCACGACGACGACGGCAGCACGACGAGTTCCATTCCAGATCGCAGCAGCCCCGACTGTGAGTCGGAGCACGCCTTTTATCCGCCCGAACGTGGCAAGGCTCCGCCCTCGGCCCCGCACCCCGTGCCTTGCCCACAGGTGCAACTGGTAGAACGGGCTGCTACCCCTACAGTGACTCATTCAATGTCACTACACATGTTATCTGGACTAGTCCTATTGCCTTTCGATGGCAAGACTTTGCCACGCATAATGCTTAGGTATGTCATGTGACCTCCTGTAATTTGGCTTTCGGAATGCCACGCAGTGTGGTTTCGCAGCAATTCTGGGATTGGCACCACTGTGACATCAGTACGGTGTTAGTGTGCGTATGTGTGAGTGTGTGTGCACGTTTGTTCGTCTTTGCATGCATGTATGTATGTGTACAAATCTGGTCGTGTCTGTGTACAAATTTGAATGTCTCTGTGTCCGTGTGTGTGTGTGTGCACATATCCGTGTGCGTGAATGTGGGCTTGTGGGTATGTCTACATTTGTGGGGAGCGGTAGTGGTTAGCGTGCTGCGCTACGAACCCGGCGACCCAGTTTCGGTTCCCACTCATGGCCACCAACGCCAGTGACGAATATCTCAACCTATTCTGGGCCTCCCCTAGGCCAACTCAGCCCTAAATGAGTACGTGTTGCGACATGTAAACATCGCCACTGGGTAGACAAATGGAGGTGGTCGGGCGCGGTTCAGGCCACACCACGGTCTCGAGTGCGGTGTTGGCCCTACAGAATCAGAATATTTATTGATGCTGGAGGAAATCCGATGAGCTATGAAGCTCTTTTTCACAGATGTCCACCATTAGGGGCAGGTGGTCGCTAACCGCACTTGACAGTCTGTTAAAGGCCACACGGTTGGCGTGGGGGTGCGGGGTGTCTCTGCCTCTTGTGCGATTGCAGGACGAGATGAACGGCTGGATCAACAGCGTGAGCACTGCCATCGTCGGGGTGCCGGCGGAGGCGAGCGGCGGCGCCGGCGGCGGCGGTGGCGGCGGCGACGGTGCAGGCGACGTGGCACGGGCGCAGACGCTGCCTGCGACGGCCGTGAGCGGCGCCGGCGACGCCAGCCCCGGCAAGCGCGAGAAGGACAAGGAAAAGCGCTTCAGCCTGTTCGGCAAGAAAAAATGAAAATAAAACGGATTGTACAAACCCACACCCACCCACCGGCCCACCAACCCCTGACCCCCACTCATCCCCCCTCACCCCTGCCCCCATAATGACGGTGCTCTCTGTGTAACGCGCGCACTCGGGACGTTTCACGCTGCACTGCACGCCGGGCGCGCTGTAAATCACCGCAAGCCGGCAAGAGAAAAAAAAAACTTCCCAGTCGGCCGCGAAAAAAAAAAGCCAAATTATTATCGTTTTTTTTCTAAGTTTTTATTCATCAAAACACTCTGGTGGGACGCGGCTAACGGTGACTGTGTGTGGGGGAGGGCCTCGAGGGTGGCGCGCCCGTGAGATGCCTTACAGTGACGGTCGCGCATCTGCCCCTGCGGCGTTGTTTTGTTTGTGCTTCGCGCTGCTCCCCGTGTTTTGTCCACCGCCTCGAGCGCCGATGGCGACGTCCTCGCCCCCACGTGCCACCCCTCCGTCCTCCTCCGTCTTCCGTCGATGATTCCTCCGTTGAGCCCTGGCGCATTATTTTCACGCCTGCCCCTCCCCCCGTACACCTGCGCGCGTACCCACGTACGTGCGTGCGCGTGTTTAACCCTCGTGCCTACCTACGTGCCCCTTGCGGCCAAACGTGGATGGCGGTTCGAAGGCACCGCGGATGCCCCCCGCCCTGCTTTGATTGCGCCGACTCCCGCGGTTCGCCGCCGACTCCCGTGCGCGCTGGCGAGGTCGGGATTTGAGCTTGGCGGCGATCGTCCTGTGGCTCAGTCTGCCCCCTCCTGTAGGCGCTCCCCGGTGAAGTCAGCTGCACTTGGGGGAGATTCTCTCCTACGCTGTCCGTTGAGGGGAAAGGGGGCCCTCCTTCTCTCCGAAGCGGTCGCTCGGTTTGGGGAAACCTTGACCAATCCCGATCTCTTACTCACTCCCGGCCTTCCCCAGGTCCGTTACAAGCTCCTGCACGAGGTTGAGTCGGCGGCCGAGTGAAACGACAACAACGACAAAAAAGCGCGCGTGTGCGTGTGCGCATGTGCGCGTGTATGTGCGCGTTTGATGCAATTTTGTTAACTCTGAGCTTTGTCCAAATTGGGTCACAGATTGTGGCAGTTGGCACAGAGAGAGGATGCAGCGTGTTTCAGTGTGGTGCTCTGAGCAGATGGCAGTGTCGCTGTCCACACAGTTTTTGCGCTGCCGTCGATGTGTACAGGACTTTTCCCTTTTATGTTTGGGTTTTTTTCTTGTTTTTGTGCCAGAAGTGTGCGACGATGTAGATACAAAATGACTGGAAGACGATGGCAGGGGGCGGGGAAGCTCGCGGGGAGATTTGAGACGAGAGAAGGTGTAGGATGTGTACAGGAAAGTGGAATTTGTGATCTGTGTTGGGTCGATTGAATGTGGATTAAGAGAATAGCTGTGTGTCATGAAGATGCACAAGTTAGACCGGAAAGCTTTCGAAGGTGTTTTTTTTTATACAAATGTTTTTAAAAGCATATTGCCTATATTAGAGTAGGCGATAAGCCAAACTGAACAGCTCTCAATTGCGTTAGAGCATTGCTTTTCGAACTTAATGGCCGGGAGTTCGTATTCTTTTTTTGCACCATTTAATCTTTTGAAGGGCCCCGTGTATTTCCCCTTTAATTTGTTTGACTTTTATTCTCAAGACTGAACTCTCCTCTTGAGTATGATTAGTGTGTGCGTGTGCCTGAGCCCTGTGCCTCTTGATTTATACCTTTGAACTGGCAGGTTGGTGGAATTGCGACGCATGGAAATATAAATATTTTATTCTGCGTAGCCGTGAAATATCTCGAGTCTCACGAAGGGGCGGCTGGGGGCGGCAGGGCATCTAACATCGCCCTGATGTCGCCACGGTGGCGAGATGTTAACTACCTCGCCTGGTATACAGGAGGTTGTGAGTTCGATCCCGGACCCAGACGCCTGTTGTATATTTGGAGTTGGCATCGTTCTCTCCGTGGTCGCGTGGACTTTTCTCGGGTCCCTCTGGGTGTTCCCTCCACGTTCAGATCAACACGCGTTTAGAACAATTGGCTGCTATGAATGTCCACATGGTGGTAAGCCACTTCATCGAGCTATCATTCGTGATCGCCAGGTCACTTCTGAGAAAGTGCTACATAGCTCAGGTGGGTCTTCTTTCCTGATAAAATATTTGAGATTGATGACAACAACACGAGTGGGAACCACGCGATTATCTTCGCGCCCCGCTCGACACGAGGAGAAGGAACGTCCTGGGATTGTACACATACTTGCCGAGGGCTCGCACACTACAACGCTTGGCGATGGGCCAGCGGCGGCCGCTCGTTTTATCATCCCCGTTCGTGTAGAGCTTCAAGTCTTCTCTCTCCGCTTGAGTGTGGCCGCCGCCGCCGCCTTTCGGTCCGACGCTCGCAGTGCGCCATCGACTGCAGCGCTCGTCGAGAAACGGTCGCCCTCTTCGCCGCCCTCGCATTTGCTGTCGTCGTTTTCACTCGTGCCGTATCATTGCCGTTTACTGTTCACGTTAGCGTTGGGGTTTTTTTTTATTTTTTAAACGGACGTCAAGTTTTATTGCTGCATGTTCCTCTGATTTGTCTTCACGGGGCAGCGTCCCGGAATGTCTGTGTCCGTGCGTCGCACGCGGACGCGCGGACGTTAACGCTCGCAGGCCGCCGACTGATATCCCACCGGACACATCGCCGACGTGTATGTACGCATGTTTGAACTTATTTCGCACCGTACGTAGCCAGCCGCGTTAATCGGAGGTGTGGAATATCCCACCACAGCCACATTGATATCACACCAGAACGATACTGATATCCCCATAGAACACCACCGATATGTCAACATAACCACGCTGTTATGCAACCACAAGATCACCGATATCCCACCAGAACCTCATCAACATCCCACCAGGACATCACACTCAGATGCAAGCCCTCCAAGTGAAAGTGCGGCCGTGTTATTTTATTCTTCCAGTAAACTGACCACTTTAGTTTCACAGAGCGGTGATGTTATAAAGGTATATGTATTAACTTAGATAAATATATTAAATGTGAAGGAATTTATTAAACACAGTACTCAATATTTTTTTTGTTGGGATAGTGGGGTGTGGTTAGGGGGTAGACACTCTGCAGAGCTTTAGTAGAGGGGGGGAGGGCTAGGTTACTTGCTTTATGGATGGCCGAATGCTAAGAAGATATTGCCTTGTATGCCTGCTTGCTTGCTCGCTTATCGACTCAACAAAATATATATATAGAGATATAACAACAACAACAAACCACAACCGTTTCTTTTTTGTAATTATGTCGGTGAGAATGTTGGGGAGCGATGCCCGACCCGGCGACCCAGAGCGCAGCGCTCGCCGGCGTCATGTCTCACCAACCAGGCGGCTCCGTCCGGCTCTCTCCTTACTCACGGTGGGACGGATCGCTTTGAAAAAAAGAGAGAGAGGAGAGAGAGTGTGTGTGTGTAAGTGGGAGAGAGAAAAAAACTCACGGGGCTGCCGAATTATTTCCAAAGCTCACGAAGCGGCTCGCTGCAGGATGATGATGCCCGCTTGCCGCTGCCACGAAAACCTTCCTGACACTTGCACGCGTCTCTCTACAAAGCCGCTAGCAGCGGGGAGCGGTGGCGCAGCGGTTAGCGCGCTGCGCTACGAACCCGTGCGTACCCGAGTTTGATTCCCGCTCGCGGCCAACATCGGGGACGAAACATCTGAACCGGTCCCTTGTCTCTCCCAGGTCGACTCGGTCTCAAATGAGTACCTGGTGTAGCGGTGTGCAGTCAACGTCTGGTTGCGATGTGTAAACATCGCCACTGGGGAGACAAAGGCGGCCTGGCGTGGTGTTGGCAGCCATCCCGCTCGTGTGCCGTGCCGGCCTTAATAGGTGCTCGCTAACCGCACTTGCCCCAACAGTCTGTTAAAGGCTATACTGAGTGGGGGTGGGGGGGGGATCTTTGTCTAAGGTCTGCCCAATAACTCGCAGAGCGACTGCATGCTCAACGCACACCACGGATGATGTATCGTGACACGCGCGTGAAGTGTGTTGGACAGTGGGCGAAGAGATGAGGATGTGAAATGAAACAAACATAGGAATGATAGCGGTGCTTAGGTAATGCTAACGACACACACACACGCACTCATAACCTACTAAGCAAAAGGGTGGTAGTATATTTAAGCAAGCTGTTCCATTATGCATGGTATTGGGCTTTTAGCTATTACAAGTTTTCCCAGGTAGGACGTTTAGGCCGACAACAAATAACTTTTTTCTCTTTGAAAAAGACGTCTCACTCTCGCTATTGTTTCATTCCCTCGTTCTCTCTCCCACTGCCCCTGCCCCCCAACCCCCGGGTGTCTCCCGAGTGGTGCGCGCTCGGGGCCACATCGGTCTGTGAGCTCATCCCAGACACGCGCGTGTCGCGTTGAGAACGCGGGGAGCTGCGCGCTTGTTAAAAGGGGGGAACGCGTGCCCTGCTGGAATCGTCATCCGAGCCGTACCGAGCATTCGAATGCGGCGAGTGATGAACACCAGCGAGAGTAAAAATGTTGACTGAAAACTTTCGTGACTCGCAGGGATTCATATTCTTGGTTCTTTCGGTAAAGTCATGTAGTTAGAAGAAAAAAGAAAATTAAAAATTAAATCAGAAAAAAACCCACGGCATCGCTTGTGTTGCGATCGAAACGTCGTGGGATTTTTGCTTTTTAAATTGATGTTTTATTTTATATTTTTTATTTTCTATCTACGTGACTTTACCGAAAGAACCAAGAATACCAGCGAGATTCGTCACTTCCAACCCAGGCGCCCCCCCCCCCCTCCATTTTTTGTAATGCGAAGCACGCGGAGGCATTTCAAACATTCTCCGCATTTGTAAAACCGGGGGGGCGATGAGTGGTTGAGGTCGACATTCTCAATCTGGTCACAGGAATCGGGAGATGAATTTGACATTTTAAACGCGCAATAGTGGCGTGGGCAGCGTTGACCCCCCCCCCCCCACTCCCTTTCTCCCGTCGGGATGAGCTGACGGAATGAGCGCTGACAAAAACTGGAAGCCCCTCCTGTACGTGTATACTTACTACCCTTTGAGCCTAATAAAGCATTACCATTATGTACTTTTAATCACGGCCATCCCTGAATTCGTGTCTCGCGTGTCGCGGTGTGTGTAAACAAAAACATCGCCACTGGGGGAGACAAAGGCGGTCGGGCACGGTGCTGGGCCACCCATCCCCTCGTGTGCCGTGCTGGCCTTCGTCAGGTGCTCGCTAACAGCACTTTGTCCCCAAAGGTCTATTACGGCTACAAGTGGGAATCTCTGCATTTGTTGTCGATGGTGGTGATTTCATTTGCCGCACAGGCCAGGTATATCACACAAAGTAATTCAACGTTAAACCACGTGGTTTTTTTGTACGTGGATTCTCCTATGACTTATTGTGACCCAAGTTTTTTTTTGAAGGCGTCATTGCTCCTTTCCTGCTGCCTTGTGCCTCGGCGGCGCTTTCTGGGCCAGGCAAAGGTGGACCCCGGGTGAGTCCGCCTGCGTTCATTGGTGAGCGTTCCGATATGGGGCTGTGGTTGAGGACATAGAGCCGACTCAATCAAAAGGATCTATCGCACGCTTTCACTGCAGCTGCCGAGTGCGCAAATGGCATCCTTCTCAACGTTCAACTCAAGCTGATGCCATCACGTCCGTATGTTGAACTTCTTTCGTGCTCATCGGAGGTGCGGGGAAAGGGCAAACAAAAATGAACATAAAAAGCAGCTTGAAAGACGCGAGTTTTCAATCGAGACGATTTGAAAGTGCATAGCTCCAGTGGCTTCCTGATATCGGAAGGAACAGCGATCCAAGACGGCCGCGGACGCGCATCCACAAGCGCGCGACGCTGCGACATTTTGGCTCAAACGGCAATAGCAATGCCACACACCGCTCGAAATAATGGACCAAGCAAACTTGTCTTGCAGCTGACTAAGAGACATTGAAGCAACTGAGGCCATTTCCTGGCGAGCTGATCTGGACTTAGACGTTAAAGGATTCGCGGGGCAGTTTGGCAGTGATTGGCACGCTGCCGCTGTGAACCCGCTGGCCTGGGTTCGACTCCCGGCCAACTGCTATGTACGTGTAGAGAAGTCCCCACGGACGTACTCGGAGGCGGAGGTAATTTAAGGGCTTCCGCCAGGGTTTATTAGAGCTTATTAGAGTCCCTGCCGGCTAGCTCCGGTCTCTCTCTCTCTCGTGTCGGATCGTGGACTCTGCCGACTCCACCGAGCGGAGAGAGAAGCACCTCTACGGCTACCACCGGCTTCTCCCCAGACTCCCTATTCGATCCCTCTCTCTACCCCCTGGTTCCCTCTTCACCCTGCTTACTCTACCCGTTCCCACAGTGACCCCGCTTACGTCACGGGGTCCCCCTTAAGTACCCTAGGAGACGTGACGTCATCGCACTGAACGGCACACCTGAGGTCACGTCCCCATTTAACTCCTCTACACTTGTAAAGCAGCTTTCGCGCCGTACATAGCCAGCCGTGCTAATCGGACGTGCTAACTCGAGTCACGAGTGATATTTGAGGGGCCATACCGCTTCACCAGCCCACGATGACCATCGTGGTGAAGTATGGTAAAAACAACCCGCATAACCCACACGGCTCGTGGAGGCTTTCATCCAACATTACATCAATTGAAGGACGTTAGTTAATTGTCCTGCCAGCAACACACAATAAGAATGATACAAACTGGGCGGCTGACGGTAATGAAACATCAGCTATGCAAGTTGCCAGTTTTAAATCCCCCAATCCGTGAAGCCCTCTGCCGCTGCAGTCTGTAGGTCGTCCAGTGGGAGGCGCTGTTGAATATTTAAACACAAAATTAACAACACGCAAGCGAAACTTGAACGTTCCACATCCCCCAACAAAGATGCCCCGTATAGCCTTGACAGATTGTTGGGGCAAGTGCTGTTAGCGAGCACTTATGAAGGCCGGCACGGCACACGAGGGGGGTGGGTGGCAAACAACCACGCCCGGCCGCCTTTGTCTCCCCAGTGGCGATGTTTACACATCGCAACCAGGTACTTATGTGAGGCTGAGTCGACCTAGGCAAGGCCCAGGACCGGTTCAAATAATCGTCACAGGTGTTGGCCGTGAGCGGGAATCGAACCCGCGTGGTCAGGTTCATAGCGCAGCGCGCTAACCGCTACACTACCGCCCCCCCACCACACACAACCGCACACAACTGCACACACACACGCGGGTATATGTGTATATATTTATAGACATCATCCGCTTCATTATTTTATTGTGTTTTGTGATGCAGGTGAAAAACGCCCACCGACCACAGCTCCCTTTTTTCCCTGGTGGCAAACATTTTTACTTTCGTAGATTTTTATTTATTCCACCGCCGACGGACGGGATGCGGGGTGGGGTGGGTGGTGGTGGTGGTGGAAGAAAAAAATTTCCACGCAGGTTTCCAAAACATAAAAACCCATGAAAGAGCAAACAGGAGCTTTGTCTGATATTGAAATGAAGGCGCTTGAAACGCCCATGCAAATTGGCTGGCACGTTCTGACTTTGACGCGCTGTCCGCGGTAGGTGGTGGTGCGATTGGTGGTTTGATTCCTGGCACAGGTGGCCAAAACAATGAACCCGAAACATGGTTCTCTTAAGTCTCGAACATTGCTTGCCTCTATATCTACCGGCAGGAAAAGTAAAGGCGCCGCGGTGGCGAGATGTTAACTGCATCGCCTGGTGTACAGGAGGTCGTGGGTTCAATCCCGACCCAGACGCCTGTTGTATATTTGGAGTTTGGCGTATCTCTCTCTCTCGGTGGGCGCGTGGATTTTTCTCCGGGTCCTCCGGTGTTTCTCTCCACATTTAGAAACATGCGTTTAGAGCAGTTGACTGCTATAAATGTCCACATGACAAGCCACATCGTTGAGCTATCGATTGTGGCCAGGTCGCTTCTGAAAAAAAGACCTTTACAGCTCAATGGGCCTTACCTCGTAAAATAAAAAATAGTTTTAGTAGTTATAAATGGTGGGTGTTTATATTTCCGCAAGTATATTACCAAAGGACTGAGATGAACCGAGACAATCATCGTTTGCAGCCTTCTGCGGCAGTCGAATTTGGCCGGTAACACGACGGTTTCACGCCACAACACCCACCCAATGCATGCCGGCACTATTCAGAACGACGGTTTCCCACACAGTTTTCCCTTCCTACGATGTTTCCACACAGCAGTGTGCGCGCGATGCTGCAGTACGGAAGAGGCTTCATACCGGGCACCGTCGACATTTACAACGTTGGCCACTGAATGGACGAAGGGCCTCATCCATCCAATGCTGTGTTGGTTATGGGGGTGGGGAGGAGCAGTGGTGTTTGACCATATTTCACCACGCCAGTCGAGTGTGGGTTGGTGAAGGGGGGTCCAGGACCGGTTCACACGTATCACTCTCGTGGAATCACGTGTGGGTACCCTCCCGTTACATCTCGCTAGCGTGCGTTAAAGTGGTTCTGACAGGATCTGAGCAGTTGTGGGGGACCTGGCAATTTACTCGACATTAGTGGCGTAAACGAAGCCATAGATTCGATACACACACACACATCGAACTGTACGTGTGTGACTCTATCGTGTCCGTTTCATATACGCTGTATGTAATTAGTTCACGTAACGCTACTAAATTGAATAAGCACGAGCGAAACTGTTTTAGTTTACTAGGTAAGGCCCACTGAGCGTTGTAGCTCTTTTTCAGATGCGACCTCGCCACAAATGATAGCTCAACGAAGTGGCTTATCGTGTGGAAGTGTATAGCACTTTGATTCTTAATGTGGAGAGAAAAACCGGAAGACCTGGATAAAAATCCACACAACCACGGGTAGAACACAAACTCCAAATATACATAGCGTCAGGGTCGGGATTGGGTTTGGATTTGGATTTGAACCCACGACCTCCTGCATACCTGGCAAGTGAGTTAACAACTCGCCACCACGGCACCCATCTCGAGGGCTCTGTACACAAACAGTGACCATCTCTATTTGGTAGAGAGAGGTGATCCAATTATGGGACGGAGAATAAATATGTATAGCTTATGCTTGTGGTTCTAAGCATGGGGTGCAAGATGCCCTTTCTAGGAGGTGCGGGACATGGACAGATTTGTTTAGGTACAAATTAAGCACGGACACGTAAGTACAACAACTTTGTTTAATCAAACCCTCAATGCATTTATTAACATTTTACTCTTTTTTTACGGTGCAAATGCTGCAGTCAAGGTTAAGAACCACCACCCTAGGCCCAATGGTCACTGGAGGCGTAATGCACCATAGAATACAATATCACCCCTCCCCAACTTGAACCACGACCCAGACAGGCCCATCCAATATCATCCCTCGTCAACTTGAACCACGACCCAGACAGGCCCACCCAATATCACCCCTCCTCAACTTGAACCACGTCCCAGCGAGACCCACCCAATATCACCCCTCCTCAACTTGAACCACGTCCCAGCCAGGCCCACCCAATATCACCCCTCCTCAACTTGAACCACGTCCCAGCCAGGCCCACCCAATATCACCCCTCCTCAACTTGAACCACGTCCCAGCCAGGCCCACCCAATATCATCCCTCCCCAACTTGAACCACGTCCCAGCCAGGCCCACCCAATATCATCCCTCCTCAACTTGAACCACTACCCAGCGAGGCCCACCCAATATCACCCCTCCCCAACTTGAACCACTACCCAGACAGGCCACCCAATATCATCCCTCCTCAACTTGAACCACTACCCAGCGAGGCCCACCCAATATCACCCCTCCCCAACTTGAACCACTACCCAGACAGGCCACCCAATATCATCCCTCTTCAACTTGAACCACGACCCAGCGAGGCCCACCCAATCCCCACGCTTCTCAAATCGCATCGGTCGTCTCGTCAAGGGCTCAGTGATGGTCGACCGTCTTAAGATTCGCTTGGTCACTTCTGACGGAACGCTGCGTGCTCCGTCAAGATAGCACGGGGACCTCGGCAGTGTCGAAAGAGCCCTCGGAGCCCCATGGACGCTGTGGTGCCACACGCTGAGAACACAGCGATGTGTGCATTACCACCGAAGCAGTGCCGGATTATCTTTGTA